TCTGCTCATTATTATTGTAAAAAAGGAAAAATCTATTAAACAACAACTAATTACTCCCAAATTATAATTATGTTCTCCTAAATTCCACCAAATTACCACCTAAATATTTATGAAGAAAAAAGTTTGAAAAGTTAATAAAAAAATTATATTTCTTCCAAATGCACAGTGCCCTAGAAATTGGGAAGTTGACTACTCATATTAATGAATTGAACAACTGAGCTATTCAGATCGATAGATAAAGGTTTGCGAGTCAATGATAGACATAAATTATTGTTTGACAAACAATATACGATTTTTAATTAATTTTTTTACAAATTATCCGGAAGCATGCCCCTTTTCCCAATAAATTTATTGATAAAATTCTCCACAACCTATGAATCGATTCAAAATCGTTCGTAGGTGATTGATAGATAATAATTATGGTTATACAATTACCCATTACCTACATAATTTCAAAAAAGGGTTTCCGAGTCGGTGAAGCTCATTTGTGACTGGAGGGGGGCTGCCATGTTCTATGCTACAGCTGACTTATTTCGTTTCGGAGTGCTCCAAAACGCAGAGTTTTTTTGTATTTAGCTGTATTCAATCTCAGGTAATTTAATTAATTATGAGGGCTTATTCATCCTAAATTCATTCACAGAAACATATTTGTTCTCATTTAATTATATTTTTTTGCTAAAAAAGACGGCGAAGTGATCGCACTATATAATTGGTTTCAAATGATTTCGAGTCTTATTTTTTCCGTTACGCCTATATATACATACAATCGATTTTTTTTTAAGTAAAATATTTATATTCCTCTGTATGTTCGGATTTTTTTTTCTAGTCGATGAGTACAAGCCTGATTATCTGTTAACGTCATTTGGACTTTGGCTTAGACTAATAAAGAATTCACCCACGTGCTTGTGATTTCAAAAAGGATGCGCGTTTCGAAAAATGTAGAAATAGCAAGCGAACATCTTTTTCTCGAAATGAAAGATGACAGGGTCCGAATAGTTACAAATACATAATAGGATGGTGAGCTAACTTCTGCTGTCGAGAAATTTCGTCAATGGTTGGCATATTTCAATATGTTGAATTAAACCTCTCTTCATCAATTTTTTCCCTCAACATATAAGAAAATAGTGCTAATAATCATAATTAATTACAAACTAATTACACCAAAGGAAAAGAGTTCAATGGAGTTGAACAATATAACTAAAAAATGCTATTATAAAAATTGTCTGTGCAGTAATTTCATTCATGTTTTTTTTTCAGATAACCGTTCAGGAACAATGCTCGAGGATAAGGAGTCATAGTTTTTGGCATCTAACAGAAGATAAAACAATAAATACATCGTAAGTAATAAGTAATAAATTAATTAATTAGTTAAAGTTAAATTCATCATCTCAACGGTAAAAATGAATTACTCCATTCAATTAATCATTCTCCCAATTCAAGAATGTTTATTTAATGAATTAACTATTGAAATTGGTTTATAATTTGTTCAGACTCCAGTAGGAATGGACTTGAAGTTTTCCGGCGAGGTCATACGCCTCCAGCCCTCCGTGGATGGCTCAACTTCCGGAATTTCGCCCCCCAAGCAAAAGAACAACTGATCTGTAGGAGCGGAGTGACCTGAGGGCAAATTTGTTACGCGAAAAAACCATAAAATGTACACCTCGATGTTCAACAAACGTATTATCATGAATAAATAAGCAATTTTTATGAGCACTAACTTCTTTACCCACTGCAATAACCCCTGTTCCCCTTGCGCATGCGCACAAGTGCGCGCGATTTCTACTTTTATGATAAATTATTGATTATTAATGAAATAACCATTTCCAAACATTAGTTGTAGAATCAATCGATTATCCAAATGATTTTACGTCGACTGATAAGGTCAAATGTAAAATTATTTGATACTTCTGCTAAATATACGTGCAATTTGCAATAATCAATATTAATTAATATTTGTATTTCCAAATATCGAAAATGATTTTCTAAATATGTCCAAATGATTTCCTAACGATAGAGAAAGTCAATTATAAATTATTCAATTATCATCTGCTAAGGATATGACGCTGACATAAAGCGCGCAGAATTCTTCCCCTGGGCACCCATGGCCCTATACACTGAGAAAAAATTCTACCACAAATTAGTGTGCTATTCACCAACCCATGGGACCAAACCGTGGTCAACAAAAAATTCGAATGACCCACCCGAAAAATTCAGATGTGGCACCCTAATTTTTGAAGAACTTACGCTACTTTTCCGTGAGACTCCCTTAAAAATTGGGGCGCCACATCCGAATTTTTTGTTGACCACGGTTTGGTCCCATGGGTTGGTGAATAGCACACTAATTTTTGAATGGACTCAGACGAAATAATGATGTATTTTTCTCTCCGTGTAGCACCTATGGCAGGTTAGGACGGGCCGAGTGACGTTATAGTAAATTATGCTACAAGGGCTGAAAGCTATTTTAGCAACATATTTAATTAGAATCCGTGGCTTCAGGGCAACCATGTGGCATATGTTACTTTATACTACGGGGCCCATCCAACTAAGTGTTTTATTGCCCAAGGGAGGTAAGTAATAGACAGGCGATAAACGAAGACTTATCTCTCTCGAGCAAAGGTGGGCAACCTCCACTCTCGGTGCTACTCCGGCTGCCGACCTCTATTAGGCAAAATTGTCCCAGGCTACAAAGTTTATGGCTGCACCCCCTTTGGGCCCATGATGCCCTAGTAGTAAAAAATAATGCGGATATTCCGCATAAACTTGGTGGTCGGAAAAATGAAAAAGGAACATCTTGAATTTTTGTAATGGAAACATTCCTTCAATTATTGCATCTTTTGTTATTATTTTTTTGATTGATTATTGGTTGTTTTTGATCAACATAAAAAAAAGAAAATTCGTACCTTCCATAGTTTCCTTGAAAATTAAATATTGCTTCGAAAATAATAATTAAATATTATCAAGTTGTTAATAAACCTGGCTTGACAAGCATTTTCAACCTTTTCGTTTAGTGTATTTACTCGGCAAGCCGAGTGACATGAATTAGTATTATGTTACAAGGACTGAAAGTCATTTTGGAAATGTATTTAATCAAAATCAACGCCGAAAATATGTTGCTAAATTGTTTTTCAGGCCGTGTGTGACATATGTTAGTTTATGTTACAAGGTCTGACCAATCGAGCATTTTTAGTGCGCTAGGAAAATAAATAAAAAGTAAGGCGATAAGCGGCCACTTACCTCCCTAAGGCGTTAGAAGTACGAGGTTAGGGCGGGCCAAGTGACATAAATTTTACTTTTAGGATATGCATTGAATAGCGTATTATGCCAGATGTGCGTGATGGAGTTTTTGACTTGAGGGAGTGCTTTGGGCCCGTAATTTGCGATTCTACCGTGCGAAGTGAGGTTAGAACTACCTGATTACAGGCACCTATGACATGAAATCCTTTCTCCTTGCCGGGTTTAATTTCGTCGATATAATATTAGACGTCAATTCTTTCTAAACCATTTTTTTAATTAGTAGCTGAATGATTCTATCTTACGGTTGGATTTTGCAAATTATTTCAAAATTGCAAGCTTATTAATCTTTTCATTACTACATAATTTTCATTATATTTTTAATATTATTTTATTTTGATGAAGATTTCAGAGAGGTGCTGACTCAAGGAGACCGTTTTCCTGCATTACCTTGAAGTGCTTCTCTGGATCATACGTCCTGAAACAATTAAATTATAAAAATCAGCCTCGTGCTAATTACCGAAATTAGAAGAAATGCACAAAAAAAATTGAATTATTTTTAATATTCTTAGGAAGCTGGAAAAATCAAAAATAGCAATTGTGAATTTATTTTACTTATGGAATTCAGCATTTCGTTTCTTCCTTCGATCAACATAGAAAATTTTGAAAAGGAGTCCAGCACCCAGACTAGTGCATGTGGCTCCAATCAGATGGAATTTTATCCTCTTGGCGAGGAACCCTCGAAGTTGAGGTTTAGGAAGAACTGCACTCATTTCTGCAATAATACAAAAAAACATACACTAAGCATTAAAAAATGAGTAAAAAGAAGAGAAATCAAAGAGCGTGGAGAGTTCGATGGGAATAAGTTCATCTATTCTTCTCAACTCTGCTTATTTCATAGGTAGTAGTAGCTTTTAAATAATTTTGTTTTTATTATACCAAGATAAGACCTACATAATTTTTTATACTGCCTGGACTGAGTTGCAGAGAGACAGTATTTACATTTCTAGTATATTACATTCTGTTGTGCATTCATATGTTCATTTTATGTATTTGGAAAAACCTGTGTGACTTTTGTAGTCATATTAACGATTTTTGAATGTATAGATTATTGTCAAGAAAAGGTGCATTTGAAAGGGGTTGATTTTAGTGGTTGGGAGGGGCTTTCATGGCTTTGTAGGTTATAACAATTTTTAAATGCAGTGATAAATACTGTGCAAATAAAGCCAAGTATCCATCATTTACATTCCTCGGCTATATTTTAACAATGTTTTTATGTGAAAGTAGGAGAATAAGAATAAGGTTTAAAGAAACTCAGGACGGACCAGGCAGTTTTCTCCAGTATTTACGTTGTATTGGTTGCGGTGGAAATTTCTTCAATATTTATGACTACAATTATACGATGATCATTTCTCCTACAGATTGTTTTGCATAAAATTTAATTCCGAGCTTTACCTCTAAATTTTTATAACTGTGTGTAATGTGACTAGGTGCTAAGTCAAAAATAAGCAGTTAAGAATTTCCATCGTGGAATCAATGACGTTGACGACGTTCATTACTGTACAAATCTGATATGCGTATCGGAGTGTAAAAGTCTAAATTGTATAATTCCATGGAAAATTGATTCATTTTCCGATATTTTGTTACGGAGCGAGGACACAACCTATAAATTTTCTTACATAATCTCTTTTTCCAAGGACTAGGTGAGTGAACCTCTTGAACATCTCGAAAATATCAAAGATAAAAACTATTTTAAACCAGATTAATGAAAAAAAAATGTCATACCTCAGAATCTTAAGTTATTACAATTGCAATGATCAAACTTTTTTTTTTCACTGTTATTTTTCAGTCTTTTCGCAGAAATTATAGGAGAGATTTGCGAACGCCAACGGCAGCGGTTCAATCAAAGAGGATTGACTAAAGTAGAGGCTCAGTTGTGGGGGTTTGAGTGACCCCAGCGTAATCGTAGTACCACACCCCAAGAGAGGGAGGGCGCCAATAACCAAGTCCAATTAATCCTTAACCAAAATTTTCAAAAAAGGATCAGGGGAGCAATACCTCCTCATGCCCCCCTGATACTTTTTCGAAGATTTTGGTTAAGGGTTAATTGGACTTGGTTAAGGCTTAATTGGACTTAATTAAGGGTTAAGTAGATAATATTCAGAGGCCGTGGGTATGGACAAGGCAGAGCGCGAACCCGAGTATGCCGATAATTCAAGAGGGGGCCGTGACCCAGGCGCCCTCAAACTTCGTATTTTTACGTTTCCGACCATTCCATATCATTTTCAGGTAAAATGAGGGAATTGAAAAATCAAACAATTGCGATGCCTCCATTCGGAACAAAAAAACGAAAATGTGGCAATATCTAGCGATTTTTATGTGAACAGATATATATATATTTATAGCTTTGTATGGTGCCCACAGATGAGTATTCTGAACAAAAATTGAAATCCGTGAGTGGTTCATGTGATATTCAAGGAAATGCATTCACGAAAAGGGTGTAATATCTCTGGAACTGCTTGGCCGATTGCACCCATTGAAAATACGAACCTTTTATGTTACGAGACCGAATGCACGCTATAGCGTGCTGTAATTATAAAAATCATGATTGAAAATTTAAAAATTAAATGAGTTCTGAATTAAAAATAGCCGCCTCAGATGACTGAACCAATAAGGCATAAGCATGCCAAACTTTCGAGATATCAATAGTTTCCATGTTTGTCCTTTTTATAATAGGCTAAGAGCTACAAGTATACAAAAATTTAATAGGTAGGACCCACTGAGACGTTTATTTTAAGAAAAGAATGAAATTCTTGCAATAAATGCTGAGATATGAAGGAAAAAGAAAATTTACAAAAGATGGCGGATCAAAGTAAAAGTTTTTTTAAAGGTTGATAATAGCTATCATAAGTTGCAAACTTGAATTTTTCGCTATAAATTTCACCGTATTTATGGAGAATTTTCTTGCAATTAATGTTCAAAATTCCTAATTTTCCAACGGACCCATACAGACATGATTTAAAAACATCGTTTTTTCACGTTTCATAACATTCTATATAACTTGCAATTGAAATCAGAGAATCGAAAAATCGGTCAAATAGAAGGCTTCCATTCCGAAGCGAAAATGAAAACTTGTAAAGTTCAAATTTGGAATTTATTCTTAAACGATCAATTTTCGATTTTTTATTTCCAATTTTTACCACGAAATTAACGAATTAAAAATTAGTATTGGGAATCAATCAAATCAATTTGATTATCATTTCAATGTTTTGAGGTAATAATTATCATAATTTTAAATTTTTATGAAACAAAAGACTTGGAAGCACTCTTCTACCCCCTGTACCGCATTTGTCGAACAAACGGAAAAACGTAATTTAAGGTGGTTGTCGCGCGACAGTCTCTGTAAAAAGTTTATCCGCTGTAAAACGGGCCAGTTTAGAACACAATCTTTTAGCGGTATATAGTCTCACTTGATTGATTGCATTGTGCATGGATAGCTAAAGCATAACTATATATTTTCCATATTAACTATTTTCAATTATATAAATTTATGAATTTCCGATAATTATATTCCGTAAACCAAACGGTCAATCGATTTGATTTTTTTTTCTGTATTTCCTCCCACGATGTATATTCCACGTTTTTTTTTATTTCTGAAACTGTCGAGCCGTCTCCGACGTCCCCCCAATGAGTGGCCGTTTTGTAAAAACTTACATGGGATGGAACGGGAAAGATCGAAAGGTGCAAGAGTGATAGAAAATTTTTTTCTGCCTACATGCGCCGAAAGTGAACATTCTAACCTCACTTCGTTCGGTTAGAAACGTCACTTTCGCCGCATATCGACAGAAAAATCGTATGCAACCCTCGGGAGGATAATCAGACAAGCATTTCCCACGTGCATACAAAAATTTTGCACATGGGAAGGACTTGTCTACTTTTCCTCCCTAGGTGAGCAATATACTATCGGGTTCTATCATTAGTTGCTTCAATTGTTACCAGAGATGGAAAATAAATAAAGGTGTCTCTATATGGTAAGATTTTTAACGCGTAACCCTCGTTCTCATTGGTCATTCCGAATAAAACTCGTTTTGTCATTGATTAATTGGCAATGTTATCATCAACATAACGAAATCGAATGGCGCGCGTTCATTCTCGTCTTCATAGATTCCAAGCAATCCGACACCTCGTCCGTCGTCCTAATGAACTTGTACCCTCTGTTATACTTGGACCTTAGCCTTTCCTTTTCCACCATCTCTCCTTCTACATCGTCCCATTCAGTCCTCTCTTTCATTCTCCATTCATCCCTCATCGTTTTGCTCACTCTCACCGATTTACTAAGCTTACATCAATTTCGCTTCTGTCTAACTCTCTGAGACACTCCTCGACTACCACGTGTCCCTTCCCACTCAACTTCCGCCCAAAATTTCAGACATCTCGTCCCTGACCATATACCCTGGACAGTCTTTGCTCACTGCAAACATCCGCTTAATAAAACTATCCTCCATCGCTTCTATCTTCATACATCAATTCCAACCCCATCGTTGCTCACGCTAACGCATCAAACAGCCATACCCTTCTTCTCCAATCATTTCTGGCATAATCTCCTCTTCTAATGGCAAACCTCCTCTTTCCAATCACCCAAAATCTCGACATTATCCCATCCGCCACACCCGCTCTCATTCTTACTTGCAACTCATCACTCTCATTTCTCGTCAGCCAGTATCCGAATAAAATTCAGAATAATAATGATAATGTTGTAATGTTCAGTGCAATCTGACGTCTTATAAAAAAAAGCGATTAAATGTGACAAAAAATTGTCCGAATAAGCATTCATTATCAGACATGTTATTAATTTAATTGCTATAATAACTTAATACAAAAAAAATTTCATAGCAATTACCGCTCGCCTTTTTCGAATTTATTCCAAATTATACATTCTGTTTCGACACTGTTCACAATTTTTGATAAATCTCGTATTTTTTTAGTATGACAATGATATTTTTATTTTTTTTTTTCATACCATTATACCATACCATGTAATTCAAAGGAAGGAAGAGAATTATTCAAAGGAAAATCAAGGCGAAAATTGTTGGTTTGATTTATAATGAGACTATCTCTACGGCATTATTTGATCGAGAATAATGAACCAGCCAAATTTATTTCATTTATGTAAATAAAAGTGCAGCGACATTTAAATATCTCAATTTATTGAATAAACAATGTATTTTTTAATGTAAGATTTGCCAACAGATTTTAAAACATTTCGTGTCGCTGCTGGTTGGACTAGCATAGATAATTCAAATTCCAGGGCCGTCCGATCTGAAATGCTTTCTCAAAGTGAAGATAGAGGTCTTGGTTTAATAGGACAATTTGTTCCGCTCTACATGTGATTTATATAAAAGATTCACTTTAGGTGAGAAAGGATTAGTGAATCATTAGTGTGAAACATGAAGGCATTGGTAAAATATAACTTTTGAATTGTGTATTGATTGCTTGTCTTCATTCCTGCATACAAAGTTCATATTTTTTTCCGATAATTGGAAGAAACTTGAGATCTCTTCGTCAGCTTTTGAGAAACCCAAATACGACCTTAACACTGCAAATATTACGAAAAAAATTTTGGGCAAAACGGGTGCAAATCCAGTTCAGTCAGGAATAACGCTTTAGTTGGACAATATAGTATTTTTATCTTTTACAGAAAATAACGATGACTATGGAACACTGATTCTAATGTTTTCTTTTCAAGTTGGCAGTGATCTGCATTCTATCGCTGAGTATTCTTTTACAAGCTCAAGAGGAGAAAACTCAGAAGAATCAGCGAGCCAATGTTAAAGCTGGTAATTATAATCTTCAAATATTATTTGCACCTTTAACATGAAATGAAAAATTAAGTAATTATTCGATTCGACAGGAATGTCACGAGTCAAAATTAAAGTTTTTAGAGGAGAAAGGAGAGAAAGCGATGGGGAACAATTCATACCATGGGGATATTGGATTTCTCAACCAAACGATATATAAAATGAATAATGAAAAAAATACTTCAAATAGTGGAATATGTTTTCGAAAATCATTTATGCCAACGGGAATTATAAATAATATTGTTCACATAAACGTAGAATATTTTTAGAATAAGACATCATTCAAATTCCATTATTTCATTCACCGATGAATCGAATGTTCTGTGAAAAAATTTGGTGATTAAAAACTTAATTATTAACATTAGCGAAATAAGGCAGGAAGATTCAAATTCTTACTTAGATATTATTTCATCCCCTGGTAAGTAAAATGGATTGCAAACTGCATTCGAATATGCTAGATGAAGTTTTCTGAACATCTGTAAACAAAAAAGATTGTTAAAAAAATCATTAGAAGCGGGTGGTAGACGAGTAACAGCGAATTATTCTCATGTAAGTTGTGCAAATTCTATTGGTGTAAACATTGGAAAGTTTTGTCAATTGAAGGAACGTATAGATCCGTACGCTATATGTTGAGATTATTGCCGATGCTTAACCAATAACGGTAGTACGAAATATCAATCATACCGTATTTCTTTCCAGAACGCTGAGATTATTAACTTACATTAAATTTGTTAATTAATTTTGGGGTGTTTTGAAACTTTGTAATCTTTCTCGCATGAATAAATCCAATATCAGTTTTTTCAATTATTTTCCTCCATTCTACCATTTTTATTCTGGAATAGAGTTAAAAATATATACAACACTAACTTCCGCGAGTCCACGTATTCGACTGGGAGATGTAAATGGGTGGTTTGAATAGATTTCTGGATTTATTCTAGCAAAATAGCAGAAGATTCGTTTCATGAGATAAAATAATTTTCTACATATTCTGTTATTTTTTTGTGCTGTCTCCGGATAAAATCATAGACTTCTAATCTTTTATTCAATTTCAACTGAGATTCATTGACTTTGCATTTCTTTGAAAAATTATTTTTTTTTTTTTATCAATTTCCCAATTCGACTTTTTTTTCCAAAACGTAATATGGTCGAGAAATTATTTTGAAAAAAGTTCATCTTAGAAGGAAAAAATCGATTAGTGATGTTGATTAATTTTGTGCAATGAACGGGACCTTGTTTTGTTATGACGAAGTTGAGCAAAAGTATAATGTTTTACGCACTTCACTATAGAACATTTAGAATGGTTTGCGGTACTAAACTAGCCATTTACCCCAATCAGTTTTAAATTACACATTAAAGAAAGTCCTCGAGAAATGGAAATAAAGAACGGCAAAGAAAACGGCCTATAAGTTTGCCTGAAAGTTAAAACTGTGAAGAATCTTGCCGAACAGCCAGTCGCCGAACAGTCTCTTGAAATGAATATTAAAAGACGAACCAGCATAAGACTTCTTAGAAATCAGTGTCGAGGGACGATGAATTGATTGGACCAGAGCCCGGCAACCTGGGCTCATCGGGCTCACGAGGCTCCACTACCTGAAGATTTGCCTGACATTGTCGTAAATCACCCGATATAACGGGGTCTACCCCTTTTACGCACTAATAGAGGTTGGGAGCATGTCTTGCTCTCAGAGCAGAGGTTGCTCAACCCTGAATTAGCGTATATGTAATATATAATATACTACATATTCATCTACACTTGAACAAACAGTAATATACGCGGTCATGAGGTAAAGCAAAGAAGCTATTAAAAAGAAACAATCGAAAGATGAGTTTTGCGCTATATTATTACGATAAAGTAGAGACTACAGAGAAGATGTAATACTGAGAAAACGAATATTGGAAAGGGTTATAAAGATGGGTGATATACGGTCTAACAAACGAAATTGACACTTTTTCACACTTGCCACTTTTTCAGTAGATACTGCCCGCAAAGTTGGTGTATGAAACTACCAAAGCAATACAATTTCAAATATTAATTCAACTAGATTGCAGCAATTCAAAAAGAGAGTTGGACAAAATATGAGATAATATGAATACCTAGGGTAAATGCGATATTATGGAAATTCAAAGAGATTGGAGTTAAATTAACCCTTTCTCCCTCATTTTTTTGTTCTTTCAAAATTCAAAAAAAAGTTTGGAATAAAATGGACACCTGCTTTTTTGGCATACCATAAATAGTAATTATTTTATTTGATGATTCGAATAGGAGAAAGATCAGTTATTAGAATGCATTGACATCCTATAAAATCTATGAAACTGAATGAGTATTAGCACCGCTACACCTCTGCACCTATTCTATAAAATTATATTGAATATTTTCTACTCATGCAGCGTGTTAACGTAAACAGAAAGTGCCGGGGGAGGGCGAGTCAGAGTATTCCGGGCAATTATAAAAACCTCCAATCAAATCAAGATGAATGGATTATTTGATTGCCGGTGTTAATTTGTGTTTTTATCGAATTTTTTTTTTTAGTTACCCTAGTTCCTCCGTCTCCGAACAGGGGACAATTCTTTTTGGGGATCTACTACTTAATTACCGAAAAAGAGAATCTTCGGATTTTCATCGATGCGATTTGGATTCAACGTTATTAATTCATTATATCATTGAGTGGAATCGATGGATGACATGAGGATAGCTGCTCACGTAACTCGTTCACTGTTTATCGACCAAATAAGCGATATCGAATTACCATTCTCACGTCATTATCTCGAAAAGATGCATTTGAAGATGGCAAGACCACTACAAATTTGACTTTCGTATTTGGAGCATATCCGAATCTGAAAAAATAAATAAAATTGAATGAAGGAAATTGATAACAAAGAGGTAGATGCGGTACATACATTTTGTGTTCTTCTGTGGAATAGAGAAGTCCCAAGAATAATTCACGGCTGTCAGTTGCTGCTTTGTTCCCTACATTCAATTTTTCCTCTATTATATCAATCGATGTGTGAATCTTATAGTGAAACTGTAGGGCGATTCTCTGAGAGGCACATTTTATGTACTTTGCAGAATTCTGGTAACATTAATTTCCATTAAGAACAGATAAAAACTTTACGTCAAAAAAACTTGTTCAAATGAAGTTGCCGAAAATAGTTCCAGCGCAACATGGACCTTTGGGATAGAATAGGTTCTTAAAAAATGGTGAAACTATTCTTATTTTCCAAAATTGTGAAGTGACTTTGAAAATAATATAGTATAGAATAGATACTCATATGCTACGAAAGATTAATATATTACATACCAAGTGCGTAATTATGGATTTATACATAGCGCCCAGAGTTCAAGTTAGGATCGCATGATTCTGCGCACCTATGGCACGATCGTATATTTCCTAATGAGTGCCGAAATATATTTTTGACAAATATCTGTTCACTCGAGAGAAGTATGATTCATTAATTACCGCTTTTCTCCAGTCGAATCGTATCCATGGTGTCTCCATTACTTTTCAATTGCAACCATTACATCGATCTGGTAGATTATTCTGTCAATTATGGGCCAGTTTTTCTATAAATTAATTCTGGTTGACGATAAAGTTAAAATCCCTGATTGGCGGAGCCCAGCGGTGTAGGGTCTTAACTCACCTTTCACCACACGGTTAACTTACCGAATAACTGGCCCTAAGTGAATTGTCTGTGAAATTACTTTTTATTTGTCGTCGACAGTTATTATAAATGAGCTTTTTGCTCGTCTCCAAAGCATTTTAAAAATATTGAAAATTTTTAAAATAAAACTATTGAAAATGAACCACCATTGGAGGAAACCACCTAACGTCATATCCAGTATAATCATCCTCGAGAGCAATATGATCATAATAATTAAAATCTAATTAGAATCGTCTTTCGATTGCTGGGCTGGAGAAATACACATTGGAAACGGGAATTCTCTCATGTAAATAAATATTTGGTAAAAATATGTTTTTCTGAGTGTAATGTTAGGACTGTTTTCTTTTAATGTTGGGTCCGCAAAAGTTTTTCAGAACAAAATAAAAAGTCAATTAATGTATATGTGACCAAAGTGAACTATAAAGTGAGTTATATTGCTAATAAGGGAAAAAAAGGGAGAGGTCGAGGTTCCTATCGTATCATATTTTTACGTTATATTACGATATCAAATGCAGATTTCATTATTCCATTCAAACGATGACTGTTGATTATGGGCGATATTCATTATTTATAAAATTATCAAATTAATCCGTATCGAATTCCTGATTTAACGTGGCAGTGAGTTTATCACTTGAACTGACTGAATCAATTGGAATTTTGACATTGCAGAACTTGACAATAATTTTAGATAATCCGGAATTTTGATAATCGCAATCTAATTAAAACTAGAATTTTTGATCATATTTATGCTGCAGAACTACTTGCAGAGAGGTATCACTTTTCACTCCATACCTATAGATTACGCAAAAAAACGAAAACAGATCCAATGAAAACTCACTTCTTTCCCAATTATTGCAATACACGCAGCCATTCTGATGCCAGAGTTTGAGATACAGTTGATACCATGAAGAATAGAGTAAGGAGGCCGAACCATAAAGAATAGAGTAAGGAGGCCGAACAGTAGTGGGAGAATGTTCTAAATGTGACCCCCGGGTACTTACCCGACAAAAGTCAGTAATTCGAAAAACGCACTTATAGACTCGATTGTACATCGTTAGTACATGATTGTACCTATAAAATTTTTGTTTGTACATCAACTGATTAATGAAAAAAAATTAATTAAATTTCGGCATGATCTTGGCCGACAACAAATTAAAAATTGATCAATAAAACCAAATTAGGGGTGTTTTCCGAAGGAAATCGTTTGTACATTACGAATTTCATGTTCTCGTCGTTTGCACTTGATTGTTAATGAGTTAAATCCATTTGAAAAAGCATGGCTTAAGTTGCGCGTTCCTATACTATCGACCTCTGCGCATTGTTCTGTGTTTAAATGGGTTTTTATTGCATTATTCTTTGCTTTACGAGTATAAACATTGAATCTAACAGGAATGGTACTATTGAAATGTGGATTCTCCATCAAACTTTCATTGAAAGAAATATTGCGCGCATCTACGTCATAACAAGTCAGGTGAGAGGGGCCGTGGTGAGAGGGGACAATTCATTTTTAGCCACCAGCTTCATTTCGGAGTGCAGTGGAGAGTCATTTTTGGAGTGGAGTATTATTGAAAAGCATGATTGGGGAATGTCCTTACATTCGAATTAATCGTATGGAAATGCATTAACCATAATTTTGAGGAAATCAAAATTGGATTTTGGTTCAATTGAGAGTAAAATCCTTCTCCTTTATGAATCCCTTAGATGGAGCTCAATTTTTCAATTTGTTCCTAATTTATAAACATTTGAAAAAAGTCATGAGCCTCCATTTTACCGCACTGCCCCCTATATACATTAACGAGTAGCAGTGATAGGATCTGCGAAAACCCATTTAGTTACAGAACAAAGAGCAGAAATCGATAATATAGAGACGCGCAACTTAAACCATGATTTTTCAAATGGATTTAACTCATTAACAATCAATGTACAAACGACGAAAACATGAAATTCGTAATGTACAAACGATTTCCTTCGGAAAACACCCCTAATTTGGTTTTATTGATCAATGTTTAATTTGTTGTCGGCTAAGATCATGCCGAAATTTAATTAATTTTTTTTAATTAATCAGTTGATGTACAAACAAAAATTTTATAGGTACAATCATGTACTAACGATGTACAATCGAGTACATAATTGCGTTTTTCGAATTACTGACTTTTGTCGGGTAAGTACCCGGGGGTAAGATTCACCCGTGAAAACTGTCATGGCGTAGTCTCATTGATCACGTGATCATGGTTTATGCTCATCGCCATGTTGAATATGGCGGCGCACATTCTCCGGTCAGTTTTGGGCAATGCATGGCGGACTCACATGAGCGACTAAATTCATACGGAGTATATTTTCACTAGCGCCACCGCGGCCGCGGTGTTGATCACTGCTGAAAATGATGATTTAAATGAATGTGACAAATTTTTTTTCTTCAATTCTTGGCTGACATGATAATAATATCGTGCCTGGCATACAATAATAAAAACCCTTCGATTATTTTGCAATTACATTGAAAAGTGATTTTAAGTTACCTCTTATCAGCACCCAACAATTTGTTACTACACTGTGTCAGAATGTTTATATTTCATAGAAACGGGAATAATAAATAAATTTTTGAAAATTTGTATGTATAATGACTTGATAAGACACAACACGACTAATTAATCAGTGTATCACAAAGAGACGATTTTAAGCTCATTTTAAACTGTTAATCACTTAAATTTTCTACGTTAACCAAACATTCTACGTCAAGTCAAATTATTGAATCATATAATTCTCTATAAACATAGTCTTTCACTAAATTGGATTCTCTTTGATCCCCCAAATATATTCGTAATGAGTCCCAAGAACGTACCCGTGATAATGCGACATAAAGTTGTCCATGATTGAAAATATCTCGTCTGAGGTCAATCCCAATTTTCTCAAAAGTTTGTCCTTGTGATTTGAAATAATACACTGATTAATTAGTCGTGTTGTGTCTTATCAAGTCATTATACATACAAATTTTCAAAAATTTATTTATTATTCCCGTTCCTATGAAATATAAACATTCTGACACAGTGGCGCTAGTAATTGAAGCTCAGGTATACTCTGCTTGTTATACGCATGCGCTTATGATATTGGTTATGCTCATGCCCATATGAAAAATTCCCATGATCGATATATCGAGAATAGTTACAATCGATTATCTCCATGAAATCCGCCATGTTCGATTAATGGCCCATCTCTCTTTTTATATAGGATCCATGAAATCCGCCATGTTCGATTAATGGCCCATCTCTCTTTTTATATAGGATAGGATAGTTACAATCGATTATCTCCATGAAATCCGCCATGTTCGATTAATGGCCCATCTCTCTTTTTATATAGGATAGGAATAGGAATATAGGATTTTTTAAGTTTATTTTATTTTTCATTAAAACTTTTCATTAATCTCGAAAAAATTTCCTTACGCAGATAGAATAGATATACATGTTTTTAAATGATTGGAATTTAATTTTATGTCAAGAACAATGTAATTAAAGATCTTTTTATTTTCTTAGCTAAGGCCAATTGCAATATCCGAATATTTCTATTTTATTTTATTCAATTAAGACAAACAAAGATAAAAACGGATATGATCTAATGAATAACCAATATATAATTAATAACCTAATTTATTTTTGTTTTTTTTTTTATAAAAAAATTATTTTCATAGAAAACTACATAGTGATCAACGCACCGGCCGCTTGCGGCCGGGGCGGCGCTAGTAAAGTAAAAATACTTTGCCATGTGCTTTGCAGTGAGCTGTACTACGAACAATACAGGCTCACCATTAGGTTAACACCATATCGAATCTGTAGTTATTGGTTGGATTTGTACAAAGTTGATTACTGCAAATGATAATTTATAAGTGAGAAAAATGGCCGATTTAATTAAGACAATTGAAAACGATGAAGACATAGTGAATTTCTCGGACAACTCGGATGAAGAAGAGGACGTACGTATTGACCCATATAGCATATACATATTGTATGTTATAGTTCATGGAATAAAAATTATATTGCAGTACTTTCTGAACTCCTTCATCCAATAAACTTTCTCTGAACTGTGTATATTTTGAGTAAAAATTCTGAAACTATTGGTTATGTTATGTTTTTTGACAAAAAATTCTATGCATGAAAAGGTATAGGTGCAGTCAGCCCAAAATCTTTCAGCCAGTACGACGTAACTCGCAGAAATGTAATGTCACAGAACGGCAAGAATGAACGCATGTCCCCTAGAAATACATGGCTAGAATTTTCGAGGTTTAGCACCCAAATGCTATTACTTCAGAGCATTTTGAGTTACAGTTTCAGGTTAATCGATGTTGTAGTTTTCGAAATATCTTTTCTCCTACTTGATATAGGTGATGAGGCAATTTTTACATAACTTTCAGTGCCTTTCGCCGAAAAGCAAGATCATCCTACGATTATGTATAAGTTCCTTAATTTTTCGAGTATTTTACTCTCCGTGTACCACTTCGGCTATCCACACTCAGAAACAGATTCCCATTTCCGAAATCTTACTGTGGGGAACGCAATTCATTTTTATCACCATTTATAGATAGGATAGATAGGGTTAATGAAATGATTTGCATGATTATTCAAGAGGGAAAGTATACAAATGGATCACAAGCTCTGAGCCCATTGAATGAAGACTAATCCACAAAATATCCTTCAGCAGAAGGTTTGACGCCATTGGTTTGACATAACAGTGATAGTTCTGTATCATTCATCATTGAAATTCTGGCATAAAATCGAAGACCTTTTAATTATCATCAATATTAGAGTAATAACTGCATAGTTGTTCAAAAGCTGTGGCTAGAACCCGTTATCAAAGAAATAAAAAAAATTATATGAATCTATCACTGCTATCACTGCGCGTAGACTCTAACTGTTAGAGCGCTAGGTTGGCAGGTGGAGAACTAGCGTTCCATTTCCGGTTTGGAGGATGTCAATGGTTTTTATGCCATTAAATTTGTTTACATTACCATTATATTATAATTCTCTTAGCATAAGCTACTATTTGAACGCTCTAATTTACACAGTTTCATCGTCCGAGCGGTAGCCTCGAGCCGAATGACTGGACCTGATCAAGGTTTTTTCCCATGAGGTTTTCCCGTCGACTCTCGGTGTAATTGTGGTAGGAATGTGGAAAGGAATAAAATGTAAAAAAACCCGAAAGGGTATAAATATGGACTAAAATTCAAATATATAAATCTATCACGCGTTTCGAGTAGCCCACGGAAAAGTCCTTCATGACTAGAGATGCAAATCGGTATCACATCAATGATGTGCAAAAAAAACTGCCTCTGTATAGCCCACCGCCAACATGTGAGGTTAATATACTAAAGTCAGCATAAGTTTTTACTTCTCTGGGTACCCCCACTCCACGTAGTTACCACTTGTAACCATGTCCCCCACTCCTAAAATCAATGTTAAAACTTATGCTGACTTCAGTATAACAACGTAAGTCAGATTCCACTATGATCGATAATATGAAAATCGTCCGTATCATACACCCAAAAACAATATATCTTATTTCAAGATTTTTAATATCTGAAAGTACGCCTTAATTTGAATTTGCTAAGAACTTAATTTCCTATTTGGAATTATCAAATTGGGGCATGTGGCAGCTCAAATTTGAAATATTTGAAAGTCTCAACATAAGATTTGAAAGTTTTAATTTTAACTTGAAAATGTTAACAAACAATTTGATTGCAAATTGCAAAACGTATGCAAATTTCAAAATGTGGTGTAAAAGTGTGGGAGAACTTGAGATCAACCACAGTATGTGCTCCTCGCTTGCCCACTCCATGGAGGTGAAATACTGTACACTATAATGATAATGAATCAATAATTGAAAAAAAAATGCATAGATAAAGAAAAAGGGGGGCATTATGAATGGACATCAATATCACGATCAGACTAGTATGCCAAAAGCTCTGAGTTTTGCTTAAGGTAGTATTCCCGCTACATCATGAATCAAGCTAGAGTACTGATGACTTTGATTAGCGTGGTAATTTGGTTTGACATCATTGCTCAACGGCTCACACGCCTGTGTGATGTGTTTCAATGTCCGTGTTGTATTTCTGTAATGAGACATCACCTACCCTGAGTAGCGTTTAATCTAATCTCCACATTTATAGCACATGAATTATGATTTTTCGACGCGCAAAATGTTCTTTAACATCTGCACTTACAGCTTAAAAAATTTCATGAAAAACTCATCATTGGAATTTTCAAAACTAAAGAAAAACCGTGAACTGCCATAAGACTCAATGTTAATGGTAAACAATTAAAAAAATTAATAACTATGGTTCTGGCCCATCCAGGCATCCAAAAATTCAACTGAACCATTACATATTTGCATCAAAGTCTATCTGCATGTCAATTTTCATAAAAATCTCATCGTTGCTTCGATATAGCGGAATACTACCGTAATGACATACTAATGACATAAAATTCCATGTGGTTTCATTCTTGCTCCGCCGGATTTTTCAAAAAAGTTCTAAAACATTAAAGCAAGATCACGAAAGCTGTCTCATTTTGATATTAGTTATAACGACATCTCACCGTACTAATTACAACCACCTTTAATATTCACGTTTCTGTTCAGTTCTTCACTATTTCACAATTTTTGCAAACACGTCGCGTTTTTTACTCCTTATAATTCAATCTTGAAATGTCTTCTTACAGTATCAGCCTCGAAAACAGAAGAAAAAAGAACACAAGGATTTTGACAGTGGATTTCACTTTCTCTCTGATGACGCGGATTACAATTACGATACTTGGAACGACCTAAATAAATATATAACACGCACAGCAAAAACTAAGCTGGACGATAAAATTAAAAGAATACGTGGCAATAATGGTTTACACACTACGGATCCGTCACATGCAGAAAACAAAGAAGAAGTGGATGAAGAAGGGGATCCGTACATCTTCAATGACGATTTCCGCAAGGACATCTTTAAAACAAAGACGTCAAAGGGCAAGAAGAAATTCCTAAAACAACCCGAGATGATGGAGTTCGAGGAATGCGCACCCGTCGACGTTTACGCTTCATTCTACCAGATGAACCTATCACGGCCTCTCCTAAAAGCTATAGGAACCATGAATTTCATTTCCCCGACTCCAATTCAAGCAGCAACGGTTCCCGTAGCTCTGATGGGTCGAGATATCTGCGGATGTGCTGCTACAGGAACTGGTAAAACCGCTGCCTACATGCTGCCTACTCTGGAGCGTCTTCTCTATCGTCCTAGAGATGGTCCAGCAGTCACCAGAGTTCTCATCCTAGTCCCCACTCGAGAACTGGGGATTCAAGTCTACCAAGTGTCCAAGCAGCTTTCCCAATATACGACTATCGAAATAGGTCTCTCTATTGGAGGTCTAGACCTGAAAATCCAAGAGGCAATTCTCCGCAAAAATCCAGACATCGTCATAGCCACCCCAGGACGATTGATCGATCATCTCACAAACACTCCAACTTTTTCTCTCAATAGCATCGAGATCCTTATTCTTGATGAGGCTGATAAAATGCTGGATGAGTACTTCGCAGAACAGATGAAACATATAGTGAAACAATGCGCAAGAACCAGACAAACAATTCTGTTTTCAGCAACTATGACAGAAGAAGTGAATGATCTTGCCGCAGTCTCTTTGGACAAACCTGTTAAAGTGTTTGTAGGGTCGAATCAGGATGTAGCCTTCAATCTCCGTCAGGAATTTGTACGAATTAGAAGGGAGAGAGAAGGAGATCGAGAAGCTATTCTAGCTGCCTTGATCTGCAGAACTTTTCATAATAATGTAATGGTCTTCGTACAGACAAAGAAGCAGGTGCATAGACTTCACATCCTTATAGGATTATTGGGGATCAAGGTGGGGGAATTACATGGAAATTTGTCGCAGCCCCAGAGATTAGAAAACCTGAGAAAGTTTAAGGAAGAGGAGATTGATGTATTGTTGGCCACTGATGTTGCGGCTAGGGGTTTAGATATTAGTGGAGTCAAAACCGTTATTAATTTTGTCATGCCAGCTACTATTCAGCATTATATCCACAGGGTTGGAAGAACTGCGCGAGCTGGCAAGGCTGGGGTCTCTGTCAGTCTCGTTGGAGAGCATGAGAGAGGCCTCGTTAAAAGTGTAATCAGACATGCAAATAATCCAGTGAAGAATAGGATTATTGCGTCAGATATTGTAGAGAAATATTGTGAGAGGCTAAAAGAGCTGGAAAAGTCAGTGGAGAAGATTCTCGAAGAGGAGACAATAGAAAGAGAACTTGCTAAGGTGGAGAACCAGGCGAAGAAGGCGGAGAGATCCTTGAAGAATAAGAATCAGGAGACCAGAGGTTGGTTCCAATGTTGTAGGGAGAAAAATTTCGCGAAGAAAGGTTCAAGACTAGTCGAGTTCACAAGAAAAAAGGAGAGGAATCTGGTACAAGAGAGCAAGCGGCAGACAAGGAGAAAAACAAAAGAGGATGTGAATTCGGTGGAGGAAAGGGCGAATAAGGAATTAGATAAGGTGGCGGAGATTCAGGCGAGGGCTGCCAAAAAAAGCGGAAAATTGAAGAAAATTAGGACAGTTATTGAAAATGGAGGAATGCGACAATACAATGGTAAGTCGATTAAAATATACTTGAGAAAGTGAAGAAGCCTAATGGGTTTGTCGTCAGCGTACTGGCCCTAATGACCAAACTGTCCCAATAACGCAGGTTCGAGTTCCGATGACGAAAATTTTTAGGAATTTATTGATTTTGATATATTAGAAAGTTTTGATACTTTTTCTTTTAACTTGGCGAAAGATTGCACTTTGGACAGGAATTATACTGTACTTGTAGTCCGCGAAAACGAGGCTCAATCACTTGTGAAAAAATAACGAAATATTTTTTTTTTCGTATCAGTTCTGATTTTATTAAAGGCAAAATATCTATGAACATTGTCGGTACCGGAAAAAGAGATTAGTCATTGTTGAAGGGCGATTCGGTTTCATCAAATGTTAACATGTTAATAGATATTAAGTGTACACCTTTAATGAACTGCGTGAATTATTTGTTAGCTATTCACCAGTATCTATTTAGCCACCATTTGCCTCTCATAATGTTTTTCATTTTAGGTCCCAAGAAACGTGCAAAATCATCTTTTGCCTCAGATCTGACAGACATCGGCAGAAAGGGAGTAAAGAGATTACGTTACGAGTGAGTATCCTCTAAAAGATCCAAAATTCATTATACTCGAACATAGTTTCATCACTGATTTACCGACAATGAAAAGTTAAAGCGCTACGAGCCAAAAAATTTAGGTGATCAAAATTATATAACATTGTGTCAATTCAATGCGCTTTCAATAAGGGCATGTAAAAAGTAATGCCTTGTGGATCGACCTTTGCGCAATGATCGGCAAAGATAACTTTTTATCTGTGTATTTTTTTAATTTTATCCTTGTTTAAACAGTGGTCGAACTCTCCCGAGTATAATGATCGGAATAAAAGACCTTCAAGGAAGGAATTACCGTCTGAATGTGAATTTTATTAATCCATGAAACTTTATAATTCTAGAGCAAACAAAAAGCAAAAACAAAAATTTAAAAAACGGCCGAAAAACCAGACGTGAGAAGAATTCTGAAGGAAAGGTGGAAGATAAAACTTGAAGAAGGATTAACCTATTAAATATCTAAAAAAATTTAAGAAATATTATAAAGCCATGTTCTCCACCGTTATAAAATAAAAAAAAACAGAAATATGTTATCTGAGCTTGAAAAAATAAACAATGCTTTTTGAGGGATGGCGGTAACGATGTGATTAGTTTGATTCGCAGCGGGAAAACCTACAAGAAAATTTTTCAGAGATCTCCTGTCGCAACCGGGAGGTTGCAATTAAGGACTATATCTGGTAAAATTTGTTCCTTCAGTGGCTATGTAACATTACCGTAGAAGTAAAATTTTCAATCGATTAATTTTTCAAGGGCGAAGACATTATTTCTCAAAAATCAAATTGTTGTCCACTTCATCATCATGTTACGCAGCGATTAAGGTAGTATTCCCATATATCGAAGCAACGATGAGATTTTTTTATGAAAATTGAGATGCAGATAGATTTTAATGCAAAAATGACTCAGTTAAATTGTTGGAAGCTGGCATCAGAGATTATAGGGCAGATTGCCAGCGCCTGTACAAAATTTTCAACAGGGTCAGAGCCCGTACCTGTAAGTAAAGCAGATCGAGAGCCCGTACCTGTAAGTAAAACAGGTTGAGAGTCCATGAGTGTCGATAATTCTCAGGGCCGTGCGTGTCGATAATGTTCAGAGCCCGTGAGTATGGATAAGACAGAGCGCGAGCCCCAGAGTGTAGATAATTCGGCACAGCGTGAAACCGAGTGTCGATAATTCGAGGAAACCGTGACGTGGAAAACATTTGATATAAAGCGGAGTGGGGGTATGATCAAGAAACAACCGATGGACGGAATGAAAAATGAGTTTACTCTAAAAAATTCGAAAAATTGTTAAACGAATTCGGGAAAAATTGTCACGCAAATGGATACTCAAACGATTGAGAATCGTCTGAAATGTGGAGATTTATGGGTCCCTCGGAAGTTTTTTTTTTAAACGATATCTTTTTTTCAGTGGTACTGCCTCAGTGTCGGCGTAGTGGGGGCATAGGGATAGTCTATCCAGTTATATAGAGAATCACTGGCCCTACCTTTCTGACACTCACGACCGCCTCGAATTACCGACACTCACGGGCTCGCGCTCTGTCTTATCCATACTCACGGACTCTGAACATTACCGACACGCACGGGCTCTGAAAATCATCGACACTCACGGGCTCGCGACCTGTTTTACTTACACGTACGGGCTCTCTGGGCGTAGTTCCGTAGCCCTCGCAATGAATCACTCGTCAAAGGGTGTGTTCCGCCAGGGAACAGTACAAGTCCAGTAATAGTGATTTCTAGTGCATTTTAGATTTGGTAAGTAGAGGTTGGTACTGTTACTGGAGTTGTGTTTCACACGGCTAGTAACAGTAACAAGTGATGTCACTAACTAATAAACAGTGTTCAACGCTGAAGTCTTCCGTTAAGGCCCGGGTGGAGGGATTTTTGCCCGACATGTCCCTAGGGAATTCCCTAGAAAAAACGTGTTTTACGGGAACCCAAGCTTCTACCCTGCCACACTCATCCCAGCTTCAACCCTTCATTTTTTTCCTTGCACTCATTTAACCATCAACCCCCTATTTT